GACATTCGAGCGACTCTACATTGAAAATGGCTCATAGGATTAAGTTGTGACCTTGATAACTTTTCATCAGTATGGCTTAAATAACAAATTGGCAAAGTTATAGCCAAATCCGCGGAACTACATTTCCGATAAGGATAGTGCGGGGTCCTTTTCATAATTTAATTTTTTTTTATGTTAAGCCTGTATTACATCTCTTGCTTGTGGTACATACGCTAATTATTCAATTGCTACAAACTTATACGAAACCTACAGTTTTAATTCCAGTTCTGAACATGGATTTTTCGAGAGATGTTTCTGTGGACAACGATACTCTCGGGAAGTTGCTAATCTTTTCCGAGAGAAGACACGAGCGTAAATATTTTGATTCCAGGGTCAAATCCGGGACCTCTGGCATAATAGGCCAAGCGCTGTCTGCCATGCCACGCTCGCGCTTGCATAATTTAGTAATAATATTTTTATATTATTTTTCATTAAATATGAAATTATTATTGTTATAGTCAATTATTAATGTAATTATTATTAAAAAATAGCTAAGAATACTTTTGTTTTTCTCTAATAAAAAAAAAGTATTTGTTATTATGTTTTTATTGTGATGAGCGCCAAAAAAGCGTTATATCCCATATAACATAAATCTGCAAGGACCGTTCTGAAGGACATCCTAAGAACGTCCTAATATCCTAAAAATGTTCCCAGGAAGATCTTTGGCATAAAGTGTGCTGTATAGGGTCGCAATACATTTGTGATTGTAATATTAAAATAATAGAATGAGTACTTTTGTTTTTCTCTAATAAGAAAAAAAGTATTTCTTATTAGGTTTTTATTGTGATGAGTGCCAAAAAAGCGTCATATCTCATATAGCATAAATCTGCAAAGACTGTTCTGAAGGACATTCTAAGAACATCCTAATATCCTAAAAATGTTGCCAGGAAGATCTTTGGGATAAAGTGTGCTGTATGGGGTCGCAATACATTTGTGATTGTGATATTAAAATAAAAGAGTATAAGATACTTTTTTTATTCAACTTTATTTCACATTTATTAATATTTATTAATCATAAATCAATATTCATAATCCGATATTACATTTAACGTTATTTTACACATATCTGAAAATATCACGTAACCAATGAAACGTAAATAGTGCTATGTGAAATATAATTTAACGTTATTTTAAATAAGATCGATCTATGAATATCGTTTATAGTTTTTTAAAAATTCGTTATTAAAATCGCGCCTGTGACTTACAAGAGCAACCAACTTTTAATATTCTAAAAAATTTTACATGACGAATATGTTATTGGTGTAGTGTATACTCCTTTTCATTAATTTACGGTTACAGAAGTCGTATCAGTAAAACTTTACAAGATATTCTTAAAATTTTTCGTGTGGATTATGTATTGCATTTGTAAATGTAAAACGCAACATATCGGTGTGACTATCATAATAGAGCAAAAAAACGCACAGGTGCGGATATATTATAGTATGATGAATATCCTACGCGCGAATCCTGCTTTTTTCCTTTCTTTCGTGGTATATTTTTCTGAAGTAATTAAGTTATCAGTAAACACATTATAAGTAATTAAATTATCAGTAAACACATTAAATCAAATTTGCTTAATGCGTTTACTGATAATTAATGTTAACATATATTCTTATATAATTATTACAATTATTTGTGTACTTTCAAACCAACAAATATAGGAAAAATAATGATTCGACATGCATGGTATGCGTCTAATTTAATCATATTTTTAATAATATTTTTAAATGTAAATGAAATTTTCCTTTAGAAGGATCAACTTAATCTATTTGGCTCCTCGCAAAATTCAAACTGCTATAACTCTTTTCAACTTTGTTTTTAATTTACGCGGAAAATGTTCTAGTTTACAAGAAAAAAATAAACATTCCAAAAAGTTTTGTTTTCCATTGATTATTTAACAACAAACTTTTTAACAATTTTTTAAACAATCACGGAAAGTCGGAAAATCTAGGAATATCTTTTATATACTTTCAGTTTTCTATTTCTTAAAAAAATTTAAGAACGTGTTTTGCTTCGTTTCCGAGAAAAAAATTTTGTCAGTTCTCGATGCAGGGAAAATCGTTCGACTCAGCTCGACGACCGCGACTTACAAAATACCCCCATCATACTGCTAGTATAGCACGCGCGGCCGCCGTGCTAAGAGTGGAAAGATTTTTCCCGCATCGAGAACTGACACAATTTTTCTTTCGAAAACGAGAAAACACGTTTTTGTACTTTTTTTTCTAAGACGCAGGAAAACTGAAAGTATATAAAAAATATCTTTCCCCAGATTTTTCGACTCTCCGCGATTGTTTAAAAAATTGTTAATTTTATTGTTAAATACTTAAACGATGGAAAACCAAACTTTTTCGGAATGTTCATTTCTTTCTTCTAAACTAGAACATTTTCCGTAAATTAAAAAAAAAGTTAGCTAACATTATTAGCAATAGAGTCATAAATTTTTACAATATATAGTAGTGTAATTTTTAATTATTTGTTTCTCGATAAATTTTGCAATAAAAAAAAATCTTTTGGCACAAAATTCTATCTCCCAGAACACTATGTGCAAAATTTCAAAACTTTCTGAGAGATGACTGATCCACTTCACGCGGAATAGCCTATATATTATTACTATTACTATAATTTATTCAAAATTATACGATATCTAGAATTATCCCTTTACTCCTTTATGCAGGGAAATTCAGTTTTCGGAAAATCGCCCGCAATTTTTCGGGAAGTGATTCGAGATCCAAAAAGAAGAAAAAAAGCTATATAAACATGGTCTAGAAATAAGTCGTTTCCGAGTTGTAATCACTTTTATGTTAAAAAATATATATTTATTTTTATAATTTATTTTTTATAATCACGATCATAATTTATTTCATAGTGTTTTAACATAAATAACTACATTTCGGACTACTTTGGCGTTACCCAGGATGCACAGTCATGTGAATGTGAAGGCATAGTCCGCTTGACGTCCCTCTTTATTTATTTTTTCATTTTTTAATTCTTTTACTTTACTAGAGGTATATATAGCTTTTTTCCTTCTTTTTGGATCCCGAATTACTTCTTGAAGTATTGCGGGCGATTTTCCGGACACTCTGTATACGTCGAATGATGGAAACAGGCGAGAAAGCATTCTCGATCGCTTGTACGGCTATCATGCGATATAAAGCAATCAAAGTGATACGGACGAGTTTTCTCGCTGTCTTGTTCGCTCTCAGCGCGCTGTGAAGGACGAATCCTCGCTATCTTATTCGCTCCGCGTGAAAGCTCGTCAGCGCGGCATAGCCGAATCGTGGACAACGCGACGTCAGTTGGGGATAGTAGAGTAGTCTCGTGAGACCACTCGAGGGGGTCGATCGTATTTTCTTCCATCTTGGGTGTTGCATCACCTCAAATATATTTTTGAAAAACCGGCTTTAACTGTGCATTGCATTACAATATTTTTCAACGAGTTATTTAACAATGAACACGATTTTTTCTATTAAATGTTGAATAACTTTTCAATGTTGAATATCTCCACGACGGTACTTCGAGAAGCGATATATAAAGACACGCGATTATAAGCGTATGAATTTGTAATCATGAGATGAACTATTATCAATAATAAGATACTCACATTCGCAATCTGATACTGAAACGATTAAAACTAATAGTAGAATCCAACAGGCGAATGAAAGTACGACGTGGTAATCAGAACGCAAAATAATAGAATAAATATTCTTATTACTCTTTTATTTCGTTAATCCAAAAATTGAACGTTTCGACTCACACTTCGGAGTCCTTAGCAATTATAAAATATATATCATTCCTTTGTAAGTCTCATTTGAGTCACTAACTTTGCAGACTCGTTGCAAAAATCTATTAAACGTTAAATTAAAGAATAACTACATAGATTAAGACAAAATTTAAAAAATTTTTAATTTTTCATAGATATTCGTAATTGGATGTATAGAATGGCATTATTTGAGAGAGCAAGATTTCTAGGTTTTTCATACAATGTCGCTCTACGTCCCACTACAAATACTTAATTATAACAAACTAATAATTTTTAAGATCTTGTCTCAATCTATGTAGATTTTCGTAAAAGTTTTTCGCCAGCGCTAAGATTACATTCTAAATTGAACTGAAACTATTTTAAACTTAATAACTTTAACAATGAGAAATTAACGTATAATTATCAAATAAATCAAAAATATTAAAATATTGAAAAATTATAAAATATTATCTTTTTTATGGTACTCAAATGTGCTAAATCCGGTTTTATCTTTCACATTCTATTATACATTCTAGATTTATCGACTTAATACATTTCTGATAAAACAGTGATTACATGAGGTAAAATTTATCTTTGGAGCAGCCAAAGCAGTCGATAATGACAACGCTCTACAGTTACCTCCGGGCCCTTTTTATACCGCCGAAAATTTACTCAGGGTTGTCAGTCTTTAATAGTATCTCGTCGGTGATATTATATATTTTTAGGGGTGAATAAAATGGATGTCAAATGATATGTTCCATTGAACCGCACTAAACCTGCATTATTACTGCACTAGTGCAGTTTTCATCTAAACCTAGCACGGCGCTAGTGCTGCACCAGTTTTCCCAGTGGAAAACGCTATTATAATCTCCTTATTACTCCATAATATATACATAAAAATTTTCACTTTTCACGTTTCCTTTCTAGAAAGAAAGTTATATGATCGATACCCTAATCATTGTTGAGTAAAAAAAATGTCAGGACGTAAGAAGAACAAAAACAAATTGTTAGAAAGAAGACCTCGACATGTCCTCAGCAAAGAGCAAAAATATTATCGGAAGAGAGACGATGAAGGATCCAACAAAGATAACGAGGCAGGTTAGGCGAGATACATCTGGCGAAATTTAAATTCTATAATAACCGATTAAATTTGCAGAAGTCAACGAACAATCGATCAACTTCCCCGTGGCCATGTGGGATATGGAGCATTGCGATCCCAAGAAATGCTCTGGAAGAAAACTTGCAAGACACGGCTTGATAAAGATCCTACGACTAGGTGCACGATTCCCAGGCTTGTGTCTTATTCCATTGGGTGATAAGGTAGCTAGTGAATCAGGAAGTTGTTATTTAGGATATGAGCATAAAGAAAACAGGTTTTTTACTTTCCAATAACCAATACTGAATGATGCAAGTTATTGGCATTTGAGATTAATACAGTAGATGCCTGTTAAAGCAGAAAACCTGTTAACAATACTTCTGAGGCTTTCACAGGTATTTTCTTCAGAGGTGCCACAGGATTGGCACGTTATTACTGTATCATGATCCGTTGCTAATGCCAACGTTTCGTACACCTTGCTATTTATTTTATCAGGGCAAGAAGTGTACTGATATTAATAGTGTTTTTTACAGGGTTGGGTAAGTTAATTTTTTCTTTTAACTAAGTTAAGTTAAAGTTAACAACCTTGAAAATTTAAATTTAAATTTAGTTAAGATACAAGTTAATGTATAATAAAATTAATTGAATTAAAAGTTAAGTTAATAAAAAAAAGTAATTAAAAAATTAAAAGTTAAATTTCTTTCTATTTTATGATTTCAGAGTCTTACAAATAACGGAAATGACAAACATATACTTCATTTAGA